AATTATTTCTTATTTTAATATTATGGGTGATATTCTCGCATTTTGTTGGGGGGAGGGGGCACTAATTATTTCCTTTTTAGCATTTTGTAAATAGTCATCAGAATAAAAAAAATTTTTAAAAATCTTGAAATCTGTAGCAGTAATTGCCGAAAAAAATTCGACGACGAAATCACACGAATCGGATCCCCCAAAAAGGGGTTACTCAAATGCGTGTTTCGTTTCACCATTAGTTTGTTGTAATAAGTGTAAGTATACAAAAAAAAAATATCGGATTAAAAAACTATGGAGAAATCGATAGCAATAACGGCCAAAAAATCGACAGAATCATTGCCTTAAGAAGTAAATACTCAAATACAGGTTACAAATTTTCCATATTGTTTGAAATATACCGGGCTATTTCAAAACCACGTGAAAATCAATATCAATAACTTTCCATCTTAGGAAAATTATTCTTTATTCAGAAATATCGCATTTATTGTAAAGGATGTATCCTGATGAAGACCTTTACGTTTTCCCAATAAAAGTTTTTCTAGTTTATTTCATTTTATTTTTTGTGTTTATATATACACTACTGGCCATTAAAATTGCTACACCAGGAGGGCGACACACACGAACGTGAAATTTGCAGGACGGATAAAGCTGGTTGTGGTACGCAAATTATAAACTTTTCAGCGTATTCAGGCGGTGGTAGAGACACCTACAATGTGTATAAAAAAGGAGATTTGACAGTAAGTTTCTCATACAGAAACTGAATTTGAGCGCTGTTCTTGGGTAATAAAATTTTTGCTATGCCTCGTGTAAGAAGGAGATATGCCTAGCAGTACGTGTCTGAGTTTGATCGAGGTCGAATTGTGGTCTACCGGGATTGCGGTTTATCATACTGAAGTATTGCTGCTCGAGTTGGTCGAGATCCCATGACTGTTAGCAGAATATGGAATCGATGGGTTCATGACGGTCATATGGAACGTCGTGCAGGATCTCAGCGGCCCCCATCACTTTCAGCCTCGAAGACAGACATGTTATCCATATGGCCTTAAGGGATCGTACAGCTACGTCACGAACCCGGAATCAACAAATGGGGTCATTTGCAAGACAAGTGTCTGCACGAACAGTTCGATGGCGTTTGCAGCAGCATGGACTGTCAGCATGGAGACCATCTCTTCGGCTACCCTTGACCCTTTATCACAGGCAGGAGCGCCTCCAATGGCGTGATCAATGACGAACCTGGACGCAGGAATGGTATGACGTCGACTTTACAGACGAATCCAGGTTCTGTGTGCAGCATCATGATGGCCGCATCCGTGTTTGGTGACACTGTGGAGAGCGTAGCTTGCATTCGACATCGTCATACTGGCCCATCACCTGGAGTAATGGTATGGGGTGCCACTGGATACACATCTCAATCACTTCTTGTTCGCATTGCCGGCACTTTGAACACCAGCAGTTACATTTCTGAAATGTTAGGGCCAGTTGCCCTGCCTATCTTCGAGGCCGCCATAACGCTACGTTTCAGCAGGACAATGCACGATCGTATGTTGGCCGCCCTATCCTGGCGTCCTTGGCATAGAACATGTTCGCCTGTTGCCCTGGCCAGCACGTTCTCCTGATCTCTCACCAATTGAAAATGCCTGGTCAATGGTTGCCGAACGGCTGACACGCCAACACTCGTCGCTACGGTCGACGAATTGTTGAAAAAGTTTGAAGCTGCATAGAATGCTGTACCTGACCATGCTATCCAATCTCTGTTTGACTCGATGCCCAGGAGAATAACTGCTTATTGCTGGCAGGGAAGGCTTCTCTGAGTACTGATTCCTCAGGATCTATACATACAAATAGCCTAAAAATTTAATCACTTGTTCTTCCAACTATAATGTATGTGCCCAATAAATATCATTCTGTTATTTGCATTCCTTCCTGGTGAAGCAATTTTAATGGCAGTTAGTATATATATGTTACTGTTAAAGTATATAATGCAGTTATTTCATAGAATACAATGTTATTCCATGAAATAACTGATCTTGTCCGTTAAATTGCGTAATATGTTATTAATTTGACACTTTAACTAGTTATTCTATGAAATAACTAGGTATTCTATAAATTAACTAATGAGAGATAGTTAAAGTGTAAAATAAACAATTTATCTAAAATGAAATAACTAGGTATTCTATAAATAAACTAATGATAGACAATTAAAATGAAAACGAAGCAATTTCAATTTTAAGGACTAATGCATACTGATTGAATTTTATCAGTGGTAGACAGATAGACATGCATATAATATACACAAATGCAGCTTGTGACCATAGCAGAAACTAATATTGCCTATTATAAAAAATAAAAAAAAAAGTGGTCAAAATTCCCAAATGTTATCTTTCAAACAATTTTACAAAATTTGAATACAACAGAAAATTTATTAAATCAATAACAAATTTCATAACTTCAAAAAACTAGAAAATGTAAAATAATTTATGCCAGTATAAATCAATGCTGAGTTTTATAAAACTAAAAATACATTTAAAAAAAAATCAGTGATTTTTGAACAAATTTTGTCAGAATTAAGTGGTGTCGAAAGAGTTTAAACTTTAGTTAAATTATAATTATTACAGCAGTTAAATTGCTTGCAGAAAGTTTTTATTCGCTTAAAGTTTTTCCTTTCACCTAAATCTACTGATAGAGAGTAAAATTAAACAAACGTCACATACAGTAATACAAGAAAATTCTAAGTGACATTCAGAAAATGCCTAAAATTTTCAGAAAATTCAGCAATTTTTTTTTTTTTTTTTTTGACCAAATTTTTATAAAAGGTAGCTCCAATGGAAAATTTGAAATGGAAAAAATTGCTTGGTAAGCAACTTCTTGCTGTTTCTAAATTCACTGAAATCCACAATGTTCTTTTACTAAGCTAAGCTCTTCATATAGTTCGTCTATGGAAAGAACTATTCTCACTCTTTGTCTAGAGCGGTGACTATGGTTATGAGGTTTAACTATTTTAAAGTTTAGTGACTATTTAAGACAGGTTCTGCATTGGGTTAGTAAAAGAAAGGGAATCTAAGAAGAGAAAATCTCCTCTCTTTGACATGTATATTACTTGTTTCCATAGTAGCAGACTGCCTTAGACTATGTGGCAAAGGGAGTTCTAGTTCTTTCATAGACAAACTATGCATTAACATTAAAAACTTGTTGCAATCTTTTAAAATGAAAACATGGATTCATAAGTCCACAAACTACAATAATAACTACAATAATAAACATAACATCTATCCAAATAAAACAGATTTAGTTTTCTGCTATGTGTAGTTTAAAATAAATGGTTAAAAGCACATCTTGATTGATCTTCCTCAACCCTATTAATCAATCCTTATTTTATTCCTTACCTATAACTTGTCTGTAATTTCAGCTGCATCGTGGTGTTTCTCTTTTTCATTCTATGCTTTGTCAATATGAAAATGCTGCATTATATAGTACCTGATATATGTCTCATATGTCTGATACATCACATATATGTCTGATTCTGTTTTGAAAACTTTATTTTGGCAATAAGTTTCAGATTAAAGTTATTTTTTAAAAAATGTTTTAAAAAACTGTTTTATTTAAATTTGTTCTTTAACTTTTGTTACAAAAATTACCAAAGTATCGTCTATGGTTTACGTCTCACCTGATTTTACTACATTATAATTTAAGCAAAAACTAAAATATTAATATACAAGCACACGTTTATATTCAAAATCTGTTTTAATATGTTTTATCATAAAACAATTGCTTAGTTATTACTGTTAAAATTGAGTTTTTACTGCTATTTTTTTATATATTTACATTTTATTTCATGAATTTATAAGAGAATAATGTAGTTTTACAATTTTTTCATTTATTTTGAATGGACAACAATCAACTTTATGATTTTGAAGTCAAATCAGTAAAGTAATATAGTACAAATGACTTTATGAATATTAACGATCCAAATTACAGGTAATAAGTTAAATTAAAAAAATTTTTGCTGAAAAATTAGTTTTTAGAACAAAATTATTTCATTTTATTCTTAGATTTCATCAAAATATAATGCAGCTTCATCAATTAAAATGAAGCATCACTTATTAATAAGGGTAATCTAATTTCCTTCTGATTTTTCAGTCAAATTAATAAAGATGAACAATAAAGGTAAAAATATTTTTTATTAAATATTGTGACAAAAAGGACTTGAAAGGCAATTAAATTAATACAATCTAGCAATTTTGTCTTTTTTTAAAAAGAAGTCTGAAAATACTAGATGAATATATTAAACAGTGCAATTCATAGCACATATTTCTAGGATCCTTTTTAATTAAATGAAATGGTAAACTTTAATGGTATAAATTAAATTATTATGGTATAAATTGGTATAAATTTAATAAAAATATTAAAGTAAAGCACAGTATTATTCCTTAATCCAAGGCAATTTTAAAAAATATTTCTGACATTAAATGTTCAAAACTAATATAACATTCGACAATTCTTTAAGTAATAAAGCTAATGCGCAATGATTGTTTACTTCAATAAAGTCGCCAAAACAGCGATAAACCTCCGATTTAAGTCCACCTATAGGTGTGACGATACAAAATCGACCGGCAGAAATGCATGTATCCATCCATTTGATTTCAAAGCAACAAAAAAAAGTTAATTTACAACGGATAACACAAAAGGAAAAACAACTAGCCTTATCTCAAAACAAAACATAATAAAATTATATTATTTGGCTAAATTAGATTAGAAGCACAACTCTAACAAAAGACATAAATTAGTCGAAACAATCAGGCAATAAAAATCAATAATAAAAGAAATGCTAAATATATATAAAATTAAGTGGATATTTAATGTACAATGTAGGTCAACTGATTTACTAAATCTTATTCAATAAAAAATTCCTATCTTAGTACCATGCTAATATTTTGTTTACAAACAAAGTCAGCCATGTTGATTTCAGTTAAATAATTAAAATTTGCAATATGAGTAAATAATCATCTTACCTGCAGTAATATCAGATCCAGGAGTACCAATGGGAGTATTTTGAGGTGTATCCAATAACAGTATTGATACCGGGTCTTCGGTGGTTGATTTCGTAGATGAAATAACATTGGCAGCCGTTTTAACATTGGGCGTACCGACAAACACTTCGGTTTTCATGTTAAATTTAATGTAGATCACCGGGTAAATTAAAATAAAATTGAAATGACAATAACTTTTTCTTTCAGATGAACTTTAAAATATACGGGTGAGACCAAGGAAAAACAATTTTAAGGTGTAAATAATAACTAAATGTAAAAATAATTTTGAGGTAAACTGCAGATAGAACAAAGGTAAACAAAAAAAAATAAATCTCTATAACTTGCCCGTCTCACAACTTCCACAACATTTCCTTTCAAATTAAGAAAGGAAATTCTCATCCGATGTTAAACCCAACGAAATAGCTAGGCTAAAGCCTGCTATGAGCTTTGAACAGCTCGGCTGAGGAGCTAGCTACGCACCTACTTTTCGACAGCTACAACACCATCCCTTTCCACACGTCTAGATTTCTGACTAAGAATATTGCAACCCCGCGGCTCTTTATAGGTGTACTGGAATAGAAATCGCCAAAGGGTGGATGTGATAGAGTGTTTTGTTATTTTCTTCTTTTTTTCTTCGCTAGATAGATATGCGTCGTAGAGATTGTTTTGTTAATTTATTTTCGACTAGCTGGCAACTATTGCATATCCGCCGCTGTTTAAGTCAGCTATAAAAATTTGTGACACTTTTCCGAAACTGACTACGAAGAATATATTTATATATATTTAATGGATTGGATAAAAATGACAATGAGTAAAAATTATCTTTATTAAGTGTTTTCAAGATTAAAAAACGCATTGTTTTATTTTGATGATATTTCGTCATCGTATCCCTTATTTGTATTTGCTTGAGAGATGGCATGTTTTTAAAAATATTTAGTTTTAATTTTTTTTTAAAGGATAAAAATGTAATTTTTTTGAACAATTTATTTATAAAAAAAATTATATCATGCTTAGATTACATTGTTTTATGTATAATGTAAGTGTGTTACTTTTGTTGTAAGTTTTTTTGTTGATTTTGTATGAAAAGTTAAGCATCAAATCATTTTTTTAATTAACAAAATTGGATGAAAAAAATTTAATTTTAAATAAATAAATAAATCTTTTTAAGAAATGTTGAAAAGGTATTTTTTCTCTCTTTAAAAAAATATTCTTGAATTTTTTTTTTTTTTTTTTCAATTATGAATCGATAAAGCAAATTTTTAGATTTTTTGAAGCCAAATTAAAGAAATATATTCGAAGCAAATACTATAATACTGTTAAAATAAATAAAAAAAATAAATAATCAATAGTATTACCGGAAATTCTTTAGAAAATTGGGATTCAATAAACTTTTACTCAGACTTTCCTGTATCATACTTAGAATGTTTACTTAATTAAAATAATAACGTTGCTAGAAAAGTTTATGAAATCTCAGTTTTTACCCAGAAATTTTCTAGTGTTTCTTCTTTTTTTTTTTAAATTTTAATTAGATATTTATTTATTAAAGATCTTGAGATACATCATTAAGAAATTATTTATTATTAAGAAACATACTATCCATGAAAGAGAAATGATGAAATAATATCCATGATGGAAAAAAAAAAATTTCCCCAATACAAAAAAGTTCTTGAAATACACCAAGTACGTGCTAAACAGGAGAAAAGCTGTCCAACTGACTTAGGTCTACTAAATCTCGAAAATCAGTTATATAAACTTTATTTTAAATTTAATTTTCTTAATTTTCATATTTTTTTCTTTTGTATTTTCATTATATTCCCATAATAGACTGAAAGCAAATTATGTCCTTAATTTTTTACTATTTTCGACATTAATATAATTGTTTAAATGTCCATCGAATATGGGGAGCGATTGTCCTTATGTCTATTTGTAATAACTATAAAAATATTAGATTGAAAATTTCAAAAAATATTTTTTTTAAAAATAATAATAATAATGTGACCAATTAGTATATGCATTTTATTTATAACCAATCAAATCGAAGCTGTACATTAATTATGATATTATAATACAATTTCCACAGGTTACCTATATTAATGTAAATTTATTACTAAATTTCAGTGTTGATTATGACTATTCAGGTTGGCATTTTTTTTCTTCTTTTTTTTGTGCATTGCTTAACATTAAATTTTCATCTTTAATTGCAACAACACCAAATACCTACTAACAAAAATATCTCGCATTCGTATATCCCAGGGGTGGCCAAGCTCCTTAATAGTCGAGCCATTTTTCAAAATTTGAAATTTTTCGCGGGCCGCAATTAAATACGTATTCAAAAGGTATGCAAAAAAGGTGTTAAACATTTTTTCACAGAAATTATACTTATTGAAAACATATAAATAAAAGTGCGAAATATGTGTATTGAACTTAAATATTAAACACATTAATTTTACTTCTTTTGATAATTCTTCAAAATTTGGTTGATAATAATGGTTGACAGCACTTCTCAGTAATTCTTTGAGATGCTTGTTAGTTAATACTGATCGGTGTTTGGATTTCACGAATTTCAAAATGGAATAAAATTATTCACATAAGTACGCTGTTCCGAATATTGAAATAATTCTACAAGCAGCCTTTTATAATTCAGGATGTTTCGATTCTTTAACAAATTTCCAAAATTTAGTATTACGTCGAATTTAGTATTATTATTACAAAATTTAGTGTTAGTAATTACGTCGACTTATATTTTAATTGTATAGAGCTTGATCGTTTTGCATCTCTATTAATTCTAATTCTTCAGATGCTTTTTGGGTCATAATTATATTGAAAATGGAAAATTCACCTTGAATTATGTTAATTTCAAATGAATTCAGAAAAAATATTAAAATATAATAGCTCAAAAATGAAAAGGGAACTTGGGTACATTTATCGCGAGAGCCACAAATAATTCTTCAAAGAGCCGCATGTGGCTCGCAAGCCGCTGGTTGGCCACCCCTGCCATTTGCCAAAATTCTTCTTACCTTAAGAGTGCGCGGCTGCAAAAATAATAATTTTTCTGAGATTAATCCTTCCTTTACAACTTAATATTAAAAAAAAAGAGCCGATTAAAAAATCCGAAAAACAAAGATAAAAAATAATTCCAAAATTAACTTGAAACTGAAACAAAAGGAGAAGTGTTGCACAACTGTTATGTATTTATACGTTTATTTAATAAACATATGTGGACGTGAAAAAATAACAAAAAAAATTATTATCTTTTAATAGTGAGTTAAGAGGTAAAAAAAAAAAGTATAAAAATAAAAACATTTTGATATGAGATGATTCAAAAATAAACGTCTGCATCATTAATAACATTTTCATATCCGAATATACCTTAAACATTTTTATAAAAATGTATAACATTTCACATTTGTTCATTCAATAGTTCTTAGTTTTTGCATAAGGAGAGAGGAAGGCTTCTCTCTCTCTCTCTCTCTCTCTCTCCCCCCTCTCTTTTAAAAAAATATACGTTGTGTTAAATTTCCATGGATTAAACTTCCGAGAATCAGAAAAAGTTCTCTTAACATTTTTAGTGCAAATATGTAACACTTCTTATTTTTCATTTTATTCGTTATGTTTTTGCGTTACGAAAGAAAAAAGCGCTCAATGAAAATCGAAAATAAAGAAGTATATTTTAAATAATTTTTAGTTGTGATAGAGTTTTTTATAAACTCAACCTTCCAGAATCAGAAAAATTTCTCTACATATTTTCAACACTTCTTATTTTTTTATTTTATTCAATTGTTTTTGTCCCATGAAAGAGAAAAGAGTGAAGGGAACATGGAAAATAGAAATATATATTTTAAATAATTTTTAGTTGTGATAGTCTTCTATAGACTAAACCTCTCAAAATCAGAAAAATTGCTCTAAAAATGTGTAGCATTATCTATATTTTTTTCGATAGTTTTTGGGTTGTGATAGAGAGAAGCACGTGGAGAACATTTTCTGAAACAACAACCTGTACTTTGTTTTTTAATAAAGGGATATATTTTAGATAATTTTTAGTTGTGATAGTATTCTATAAACTAAACCTTCCAGAATCAGAAAAATTTCTCTATAAACAGGGCTGATTGTGCTCCGTAAAAAATCCGGATTTCCGGATTTTCCATCTAACCGTGATCCGGAAGTTTCTGGAGATCAAATTTTCAAAGGTGAAACTTAAAAACACAGTTTATTTTATTTGTTTGAAAGGGAGAGCCAGATACTTTATAAGCTTATATTGAAGATTAATATCAATTTTTTATCAATAAATAGTTATTATAATCATAAACTCAAGAAAGAAAGACATATTTTTAAATTTCAATTACTTTTCCAGGTCATCATAGGTATGTGTAAAATTTTAAATATATTTTAAGTAAACTAAGAAATATTGAGAAAAGGGAAAAAACCTTGTTTAAATTTTTTTCTAATTTTTCGATTTAGACTTTTTATTTTTATTTTTTTTTTAATTTAAGAAATTTTCCGGAATTTTGACTTGAACTCACAATCACCCCTGTATAAATGTGCAACACTTCTTTTTTCTTATTATTAATATTATTTATTTATTTTAATTGTTTTTACATTATGAGAAGTGCGCGGAAAACATTGAAAATAGAGAAATATATTTTAAATAATTTTTAGATGTGATGATGCGTTAGATGTGAGAAATTGCTCTAAAAATGTGCAATGTTTCATATTTTTTCATTTCATGCAATAGTTTTTACGCTATGAGAGATGATTATGCGTGGAAAATATTTTCTGAAACAGGAACAAGAATTTTTTTTTATTACAGATATATATTTCAAATAATTTTCAATTGTCATATGAACTTTAGTTGTCTATGAATTACAACTCCCCGAATCAGAAGCATTTCTTATTTTTTCACGCATAATTTTCCGTTTTAAGGGAGAGAGGAAAGCACAGGGAACATTTTCGAAAACAATAACAAAGCTAAGTTTTTCTTTCCTTTTCTTTCTTTCTTTTTTTTTTTTTTAAAGAAAGAGAGGGATAGGTTTATTTTTAATAATGTTTAGTTGTAGTCTTTTTTTCTATTAAACCTTCTGGAATCAGAAGAAGAAAAAATTACTTCGTTACCACTTTTATACTTATTACTTTTGTTACTCTTCTGCCTTCTGATATCTAGGACCCTTCCACCACAGCAAGACAAAATAAATACTGATAAAAAATCCAAAAAAACAAACGATGAAAATATGAACAGCATTATCTACAATACCGTAAAAAAGCAGTTTGAAAAGCAAAAGTTAAAAAGACATTATCTATAGTTAGAGTGTTGTGTTATTAACTGGACTGATACCACGATTGCGTATTAGCCGATACTTCTTTAGCTATCATAATTCATTTTATCTCTTATTTTTATCTACTGGACGTATCTTTCGATATGGTTTCATTCCACTTACCCTCTTCTCTTACTTAAATACCTCCATTAAAGGTTCGAGAATTTTTTAATTTATTTCCCTGGCATACTAAAAAACTCATGGTGCGCATCGTCCTCTGAGAGCGGGAAGGACGACGGGATCGTTTGCGATAAAAAGGCAGCCGGTAAAATTCGCGTACATTATCGACCTTGACCTTGAATGTCTTGAGAGGATGACAGTAAACATTGAAATTTATTTTTAATATGGTTTAAGGTTGCGGAACAATAACACGCTGTTGTCCACGCCGTA